GAGAGAGAGAGAGAGAGAGAGAGAGAGAGAGAGCAGAAATAATGAGATCATAAGGATTTTTACAGCCAATGAATTGGTAGGAAGTCTTAACAATATTATATAAAAAATTGCTACTAATCTCTCTCTCTCTCTCTCTCTCTCTCTCTCTGTTTAAAAATTTTTGGCAATCATTAACTACTCGATCACATGAAGTGAAAGAGAAATTTTGAAAATTAAATTTTAAATACATTATCAGTTGGTGTTATTTTTGGGCTTTAGACATTTTTACCATCAGATAATATGCTTAATAATTATCGCGGTTTTGCTTTCTTAATGTAATTATAATAATATTTTCAGTTTTATTTATGTTTATTTATTTATATCCATGTATTACAAGTAGCCGTGTGTTAATATACCTGCGCTTTTCAATGTGGGTAATCTTGCCATCAGATGTTTGAAAGTGATAATTATTTGCCAATAATAACACTGTATTAGCCCGAGATTACCAGATTTGTTTTTCTCACTTTTACATTAATGATTTGTTTTGCAAAATAATTTTGCAGTAATTTTTGCGCACAAAATGTGTTGAGAAATATTTTTAAGTCTGATTTTTCCTGTGAAAGTGTTTTTGATTTTTAATATGTGGTAAAAATGTTTGTGTAATGTGTTTTAAATTAATCATGATTGAAACTTAAACTTCAAATTACTAGAACTCTGTGTTAAATCAATGGGTTTTCTTCAACTATGGGACAGTAATAGTAAGAAAAATGTAATTAATTTTTTGTATTCATTTCTCATAACATTGATATTTGAAATATTTTGTTATCGTTATTATTATTAACTGAAAAATATGTTATTTTCAATACATTTTGACGGATGTTATCAGAAAAATGTTGATTTAATTTTTGCTGAGAGAGAGAGAGAGAGAGAGAGAGAGAGAGAGAGAGCAAAGATCAATACAGTTACCAATCAAACGCAGTAAACTTCTTTATCATCATGAAAAAAGTTAATGATTGTTATTTTCAATACATTTTGACGGATGTTATCAGAAAAATGTTGATTTAATTTTTGCTGAGAGAGAGAGAGAGAGAGAGAGAGAGAGAGAGAGAGAGAGAGCAAAGATCAATACAGTTACCAATCAAACGCAGTAAACTTCTTTATCATCATGAAAAAAGTTAATGACATTTCAAAAAAATACACTCTCGTAGAAAAATCAATAACAAATCCAATCATTTGATTCACAAACTAAACACTAAACACATCACAAGATATACAACAAAAATACAGACAGAAAACAAAATTAATGTTTTTTCTTATATTTTCTATGAACACAAATCAATTGATTGTATCGATTCTGCAAACAAATGGTTGATTATATCGATTGTGTGAACCCGAAGGCCGGTGACGACGAACGACTGGCCCTATCGGACCGTTTTGTACGCGAAGGCCTCGACGTCCAGGTGCTCACAGACGGCCAAAAGTTGCCGCACGTGTGGCAATGGCTGACCGACGCCGAGTCCAACTGCCTGTCCCTCAGGCGACAGATCGACAAATTGCATCGACAACACGAACAGGACCTTAAGGTAATGTTTTAATTTACCTAGGCAAATTAATCATTAATTAAATTACTATTTGTATTAATAATGTGTGACCTATGACTTGGACAGTAATATTAGGACAAGGGTTATATCCCGGATACTGAGGGTTGTTTGGCGTTTAATAGTGATATCTATGGTATAATTAATAGAGGGGTTTCAGTGTTAGGTTTTTAGCATGTTGTTATTAAATATGCATTATTAATGCATTAATTTGTTGTGTAATTTCGCTTATTAAATTCTCTCTCTCTCTCTCTCTCTCTCTCTCTCTCTCTCTCTCTCTCTCTCTCTCTCTCTCTC